GTTTACCTGCATATGAGGAAGGAAGCCTCACCAAACTCTACGGAATAAATATCACACAGAAGGCATAGTATGACCACAATGTAGCAAATTTAGAAATCAACAGTAAAAAGGTAGACCTTCTCCCCCAAAAATACAGTTAAAAACTAAAAAAAAAAAAATGTCTAAATAATTCACAAGTTAAAAAGGAAATTACGATGAAAGTTACAAACCATTTCAAATTGAACAATGAAAACAGTGCATCTCAAAACTTATGAGTGGCAGCTATAGCAGTTAGTTATAAGGGAATGTATAGCTTTAAAAGCACATGTTAGAAAATTATGTTCAAGAGGCTGAAAAAAAGACAAAGATGGCAGAAGAAAGAATATAATAATACTAAAGTAGTAGATGGCAGGAAATATTAATGATAAAATAGAAACAAACAATAGGGATGCTCACTGAAACCAAAAGCTAGTTTTTTAAAGACTAATAAAATATAACTTAATAAAAATATTTAAATGATAAAATATACAAACCTCAGACAAGATTGATCAAGAAAGGGAGGAAGGGATGAAAAGAGGCAAAACCTTTAGATACAGTAAAAGTTTATAAAATTGTAATACTATAACAGAATATTTGTGCCAAAAATTTTGAAAATTGTCAATTTTTGTAAATTGGTCCATTTTTTAGAAAAATATAAATCACCAAAATTAACTCGAGAAGGAAAATGAAACCAGAACAGTTCAATAACCACTAAAGAAACTGAAGCTGTAGTTCAAAAAGTTTCTCCTGCCTGGCCCGTGTGGCTGGGTTAGTTGAGCATCATCTCATGCACCAGGAGGTTGCCGGTTTAATTCCTGGTCAGGACCCATGCCTGGTTTATGGGCTCAATCCCTAGCAGGAGGCAGCCAATGAATGTTTCTATCTCTCTCACCCTTCCTCTCTCTGAAATCAATAAAACATTTAAAAAAAAAAAAAAGTTTATCCTATTCCCCAAAGACATCAGGCTGAGGTAGTTTTATGGGCAAACTTTACCAAACCTTTAAGGAATAGATAATTCCTACTTTACATAAATTGTTTCAAAGAACAAAACACAGAGAGTGCTGTCAAACTCATTTTAGGAATCTAGCATAAGCTTAATACCTGAACTAACAACAATAAAAGCAAAATAATAGGCCAATATCACCTATGAACACAGATATAAAAATCTTAAAGTAACAGCTATTCAAAAATCCAACAAGGCATCTATAATAATAAAAGCATAATATGCTAATTAGACTGGATGTCCTTCTGTCCTTCCCGATGAAGCCGGGGCTGTGAGGGAAGTTCGGTCCCGGGTGCTAGAGGGAAGCCGCTGCTGGCAGCCGGGGGAAGGAAGGCCTACTCTTGCATGAATTTCATGCATCGGGCCTCTAGCATAAAAATAATCCAGCAAGTCTGTGACCAAAACTGCTAGAGTTCAATATATCCATTCTTCTCTTTGTCTATTCCACAGCCTCCCTTGCAGCTAGATACCACCAGGTGATGAGGTTTCAATGTGATGTAGGTGAAAGTGTTGTGTGTAACTGTGAGAAAGTCTTATTAAAAAGGAAAGATTGCACTCCTCCTTCCCTCCTACTGCTCAGAATGCAAACAGACTGGCTAGAGCTTGACCTACAGCTCCTTGGATATGAGCTGATACACAAAGGATGGAAATGCAGCAAGATAAAAGAAGCCTCAGGTCTGACACTTCACTTCTATATCCAGGCTTTTAAA